TCGAAAACTTTCTTCGCATGATCGAATGAGATCAAATACTTTTAAAGAAGAACGAAAGCAAGAAATCCTATGGAGAATCCAATTCATCAGTTTTACTCTCGACTTTCAGGTACTCCAGCACCAGCTAGAAATCGATCTCATACAACTGCAGTTAAGGATCGCGGACCGGAAGATAAAAACAGGTTTCGCATGAAACGCTTTTCGTGAAATTATTCCCTATTAGTACAATCACAAAATATTATTGTTGCATAAACCCTGAATGAATGAATGAATCGATGAAATATAATGTGATTCGAATAATATTTGATATTCAAATGTTCATATTTAGGGCACTTGATACTCAAGCGCCGATAACGATGGGTGATGAGGATGACGAACAGACTGGTATTCATGGTAAATGTCAGATGATCATCTGTGATAAGGAACATCACGATAAACCCAAATATAAACAGAAGGAGTTCATGCGGTCCGTTCTATCGTTATTTATCTTATTTCACATCATCTAACTTCAGTTCATGTCACTTTTTGTACTAACAACATTATGAATATAAGTATGACATGACAGCGAAAATATCCAGCCATTTTGACGCCAAGCATCTTGTACCAACTGAACATCAATCATTACGCATGGAAGTTCACTGAGCTCATGCAATTGAATTCCTCGAATATGTGTTTAGCGTAGATAACATTCAAATTGGCTGCAATGCCAGGTATGGTGACAAATATAATGAGCATTGAAATTCAGTGAATGAATTGTATTCAGACCGAAGTATGGAGCCGTAAGTTTCGATGTGATCGATGCGGTCAACGCTCGTCTGGCTGCAGTGAGTGGAAATGCCGATATATTCAACAATTTACGGGTTGAAACATCGGTTGAGAACAACGAGAAACGCAACGGTGATGCTGAGGTTAATTTCATTTGCGATTCAGTTGGGTATTGTGCTTTTGTCACTCCGATGTCATTGAACACACTGAAATTGTTTTGAGGGAAAAAAATGGTGATAGCGATTATAGTAGAGCTGTAGCGGTTTGATGCTTGCAGAAGTTGTATCGTCGAACTGATTGATTGTTTGATCGTCAAATTTTTTGGTGTTTCTGAAAAGCCAAAACTTTCAGACTTATTTTCAGGTAAATCCGACGAACATGAAGAAGTTATCGCAG